GCAGTGCAGGGCCCTCAGGTGTGCAAGGATCTGCACCTGTAACTCTGCCAAGTCCAAAACCTCTTTCAGAGTCTGTTGCATCTTTTAAAATTATTTATGTTTTTGGTGCAATGGCTCACGCCTATAATCTCAGCACTTTGGGAGGCTGAGGCGGGTGGATCACAAGGTCAAGAGATTGAAACCATCCTGGTCAACATGGTGAAACCCTGTCTCTACTAAAAGTACAAAAATTAGCTGGGCATGGTGGCGCGCACCTGTAGTCCCAGCTACTCGGGAGGCTGAGGCAGGAGAATTGCCTGAACTCAGGAGGCGGAGGTTGCAGTGAGCCGAGATCGTGCCATTGCACTCCAGCCTAGGTAACAAGAGCGAAACTCCGTCTCAAAAAAAAAAAAATTATTCACATTTTCATCAAAATCTCTAATGCATCTGTGTTTATTTAAAAATAAACACTTGCCAGCTAAATTTCTTTACTTCTTCTGTTCTCCCTATCAGCTCTGCAGACACCACAGCCACCATGTGTCCCACAGCCACATCCTAGAACATCACCACTTCCTGCGACATGACACACAACAGTGCTAGGCAGTGGGAAGGCCATACATGGCACATCGCAGAGTGTCACCAAGGCTGTCTCCACAATAAGAGAAGGGCACATTCACAGAAACCAGAGACATATATCACACTGAAAAAAAGCACAAGCAGCGTTCTCATTCAAGCAAGACCAAGATGGTGATGCTGAGTTCTGCTACTCTAATCTTCTCCCAGAAGTTCATGTGAATGCATTGATATTCCAACAGAGTAACCACAGCTGGTCCTTACAACTGTAAGGACCCGAGACAAGATGTCAAAGTGAATAACGTAAATAACAACAGAATACGTGGGGTATGCATTTATTCAGCTATATGGGCTGAACTGCACCCCTACACTAAATTCATGTATTGAAGCCCTATCCCTTAATACAACTGTATTTGGAGACAGGGTCTTTAGGAGGTAATTAAATTAAATGAGGTCAGAAGGTTGGGATCCTAATCCATGATGACTGATGTCCTTATTAGAGGAGGAAGAGACACCAGAAATCTCATTCTCTCCATGTGTGCAGATAGAAGAGGCCACACAAGGAAATAGTGAGGATGTAGCCTTCTCTAAGCCAGGAGGAGAGGCCTCAGGAGAAACTCTCCTGATAGCACTTCGATCTGCACCTTCCTACCTCCAGAACTGAGAAAAGATGCATATGTGTTGTTTAAACCATGCAGTCTATGGAATACTGTTATGGCGGCTCCAACAGACTAATAAATTCAGAGTTCAAACATACAAACCATATACAGTTTAGGATACATGTGGTAATGCTACAAAGAAAAGCAAGAAAAATATTCCAATAATTTCTGATTAGAGATTACATTTGAAGCAGAAAGAGGAATGAGAATGCTCCATTCTTCAGGTAGACACGGAGCACTTCACCTTATGATTATTTCACATTACATGTATGTTATAAATATTATTTAGTATCTATAGAACATGTAATAGAATTACTAGAAAAAGAAGTGGGGCCAGGCATGGTGGCTCACGCCTGTAATCCTAGCACTTTGGGAAGCTGAGGCAGGCAGATCAGTTAAGCTCAGGAGTTCAAGACCAGCATGAGTGACATGGCAAAACCCTGTCTCTATTAAAAATAAAAAAAATAGCCACGTGGTGGTGTTTGCCTGTAGTCCCACACACTTGGGAGTTTGAGGTGGAAGGATCCCTTCATCCCAGGTGGTAGAGGTTGCAGTGAGCTCCAGCCTGGGTGACAGAGTGACACTCTGCTTCAAAAATAAATAAATAAACAAATAAATAGAAATGGGATTTAACATTAGAAATGAGAAAACACAGATTTATTTCAAGTCAATTATTAAGGTAAATTTAATCCCAAACTAAATCTTTGGGAAATGTTCGGCAGATTTAAGAGAGAATTTCTAAAATATCATGAAAAATAAACCAGGTACCAGGCACCAGGTCAAGAAAGGATGGAAAATTGAGAACACCCTGACCCATATAAAGAAAGAGAGAGGCTGAGCATGGTGGCTCATGCCTGTAATCCAAGCAGTTTGGGAGGATGAGGTAGGAGGATTGCTTGAGCCCAGGAGTTTGACAACAGCCTAAGGAAACATAGGGAGACACCCTCTTTACCAAAAAAAAAAGAAAAGAAAAATTAGCCATGCTTGGTGACACATACCTGTAGCCCCAGCCACTTGGGAGACTGAGGTGAAACGGTCACCCAGGTGGTCAAGGCTGCAGTGGGCTATGATTGTGCTACCGGACTCCAGCCTAGGTGAGAGCCTGTCTCTAAAAAACCAAACCAAACAAACAAACAAAAACTAATCAATGGAGCAGAAAAGGTAGATTCCCACCCACATCTTATAAAACCTTATGTTTTATTTTTTTGAGGCAGGGTCTCACTCTGTTGCCCAGGCTTGATCAATGTTCACTGCAGCCTCAACCTCCTAGGCTCAAGTGATCCTCCCACTTCAGCCTCCCAAGTAGCTGGGACTACAGGTGTATGCTGCCATACCTGGCTAATTTATGTATTTTTGTAGAGACCAGGTTTTCCCATGTTGCCTAGGCTGATCTTGAACTCCTGAGCTCAAGCAATTGACCCTCCTCAGCCTCCCAAAGTGCTGGGATTATAGGTGTGAGCCACTGTGCCTGGCCATAAAATCTTAAAAACAAACAAACAAGCAAAACCTATAAAAACCTAAGTTTAGGAAAATTTTCCAGTAATTAGAAAGTATAAAGACATTCCACTATTAATGTAGTAAAATGGAAAAGTTAAAAATACACCATAACAACACCTAGGATATGTAGAGATTATGGGAAACAAACTTTGGGATATAAATTATTATACCTTTTGTGGATGGAAGTTTCACACAATGTATTCAAACGCCTTAAGTGCAGTCATATCTTTGTCTCTGGAATCCCATCAGTGTAAATATATTCTAGTAATGTGCATGAATTAAGTAAATTAATATATTCTACAACATTGGTTATGACAATAATAAGATGGAAACAATTTAGTGGTGACCCAAAATGGCAAATTGGTTTAATAAATTATGGTACCTCTAGGCCATGGAATGCAATGTGGCCAATATAATGATGCCTGAAGATGTGTCATGACCTGGAAAGACAATTATGCTTAAATATATTGAAGGAATATGTTCACCATGAATTATATTAAAAAATAAATATGTATATTTTCATACACACATTGTACAGGCGAGCAAATGAAGCTTCATCTGTATTTTCAGTCATTCACCATACTCACAGCCTGAGCCTGCCTCCTGTCAGATCAACAGCAATGTTAGATTCTCATAGAAGCACAAACCCTATTGTGAGTTGCACCTTCAAGGGATCCAGGTTGTGCACTCGTGAGACTCAAATACCTGATGACCTGTCACTGTCTCCCATCACCCCCAGATGGGACCATCTACTTGCAGGAAAACAAGCTCAGGACTTCCAATGAGCCTACATTATGGTGAGTTGTATAATTATTTCATTATATATTTCAATGTGATAATAATAGAAATAAAGTGTACAATAAATGAAATGCACTGGAATCATCCCCAAACTATCCCCCTACTTCCTGGTCTGTGGAAAAACTGCCTTCCACAAAACTAGTCCCTGGTGTCAAAAAGGTTGACGACCACTGATCTTAGCCTTCCAAAGCGCAGGGATTATAGGTGTAAGCCACCGAGTCCGGCCAGGTAGTTATCTCTTAATGGATGCAGAGTTTCTGTTTGGAGTGATGAAAAAAGTTTTGGTTATAGCTAGTGGTGATGGTTGCAATTATTATGAATATAATTAGTGATACTATATTGTATATTAAACATGATTAGAATAGCTTTTTTTTTTTTTTTTTTTTGTAGAAACAGTGTTTCACTATTTTGCCCTGGCTCTCCTTGAATTCCTAGGCTCTAATGATCTTCCCATCTTGACCTCCCAAAGTGCTTGGATTAGAATAGCAAATTTTATATTATAGTTGGCCATCCTCATCTGCAAATTCTGCATCATCTAATTCAACCAAATGTGGATCAAAAAGATTCGATTCTGCTGAGAAAAAGTACTATAAAAAAGTTGAAAATAAACCCATAAAAGTCATACAAATATACTTTTATAATAAAAGTATATTAAAAATAAGCCCATAAAAGTCATACAAATTTTAAAAAACATACAGTATAACTACTTACATAGTATTTATTATATTAGCTATTATAAGTAGTCTAGAGAGGATTTAAAGTATATGAGAAGATGTGCAAGAGTTATATGCAAACACTACACCATTTTACATAAGGTACTTGAGCATCTGCAGATTTTAGTATCCTCAGGAGGTTCTAGAACCAATTCCCTATAGAAACCAAGGGACAATTGGATACATTTACCACACACACAAAAAGCAGTGTGATAACCTGTGCATATAGCATTCTATCATTTGGGTAAAAAACAAGTGAACAAGGAATATCAATGCAGATGGTTGCATACATATGGATTGTCTCTAAAAGAATACACACAAGGGGCTGGGCTGGTGGTTCACGACTGTAATCCCAGCACTTTGGGAGGCTGAGGTGGGTGGATCACAAGGTCAGGAGTTCAAGATCAACCTGGCCAACATGGTGAAACCCAATCTCTACTAAAAATACAAAAATGTGTTGGGCATGGTGGTTCCTGTAATTCCACCTACCCAAGAGGCTGAGGCAGGAGAATTGCTTGAACTGGGACACAGGAGGTGGAGGTTGCAGTGAGCTGAGATAGCTGGGAACAGAAGAAGATGTTTGAATTCTGAACTGTGTGTATGCATTACTTATCCTACAGTTTAATTACTTAAAAAGAATTCATAGAAATGAATTTAAAAAAACATTATAACCCCAACAAATAAACATGCAAAGGTCAGAAAAGTCAATACATTAAAAAAAAATATGCCCTTGCCAACTTGGCACTGGCACAGAAAGCAAAGTCCTTGCTGTTACCTATACCTCGGCCATGTCCTCTTCTCCAGGGAGGGGTGCAGGAAGAAAGAGGATACACAAGCACCAGGTCTGTGGGGCTCTCAACTGCTCAGAAAAACGGTGCACTCCTGTTCAGCACCGAAACAGGGACAGGCTAGATGTGCCACATGTACATCTGTGGCTCCACGCTGTGAAGAAAGAATAGCCTTTGTCTTTGGGTTTCTAGACTTTTCTGACCTCTGTGAGGCACTTAACACAGTGTAGACCACATGTGTCTTCTTAGAACCAGGTCCTCCTACAAAGAAAATTCCTGGCCAGATTATTTCAACAACAAGTGCTATCAAACATTTAAGGGTGAAATACGCATTCAACTTCTATCAGAAAATAATAATAAGGGAATGCTTCATAACTGATTTTATGAGAGCAACATACTCCTAATATCAAAATCTAACAAATTATAAGAAAAAAAATTAAAGACCAATCTCACTCACTTAGATGTAAAAATTCTCACCATATATTATTAAATGAAGTGTAGGTATATGTAGTGTGTGTGTGTGTGTGTGTGTGCGCGCGCGTGCGTGTGCGTGCCTGTGAGTTTATCCCAGAAACAAAATGTTGGCTCAACATTAGAAAATGTATTTAATCAAGAAAATGGGTTGGGTATGGTAGCCCAGGCCTGTAATCCCAGCACTTTGGGAGGCCAAGGTGAGCAGATCACTTGAGGTCAGGAGTTTGAGAACAGCCTGGCCAACATGGCAAAACCCTGTCCCTATTAAAAATACAAAAATTAGCTAGGCGTGGTGGCGCACACCTGTAATTCTAGCTACCAGGGAGGCTGAGGCATGAGAATTGCTTGAACCCGGGAGGCAGAGGTTGCAGTGACCCAAGATCATGCCACTACACTCCAGCCTGGGCAACAGAGTGAGACTCCATCTCAAAACCCACCCCCCAAAAAAGAAAAACAAAGAAAATGTATGTAATTAATCACAACAATAGAATAAAGGAGAGAAATCATAAAATAATATGTGCAGAAAAGCATTTCATAAAATTCAACACCAATTCATGGTAAAAATGCTCAGCAAACTAGGAATGAAGTTAATTGATACAAGGCATCTACAAACAATACCTACAATTCACATCATTATACACAGTGACATATTGAGTGTTTTTACCCTAATATTGGGAAGTAAGTAAAAATGGCTATTCTTGGCTGGGTCTAGTGGCTCATACCTATAACCCTAGCACTTTGGGAAGCTGAGGTGGGAGAATTACTTGAGGCCAAGAGTTCAAAACTAGCCTGGACAACAAAGGGAGCCTCCGTTTCTGCAGATAAGTTTTTTAAAAAATTAACCAGAGGGGTTTTCTCTGTGTTCGAATCCTCCCTCCGTCTCTGTATCGGGGAGCTATTTTTTTCCTCATTCCTTCTTTCTTGTCTATTAAACTCTCTGCTCCTTAAAACCACTCCATGTGTGTCCATGTTGTTTTACCTAATTTGACCTGAGACAAAGAACCCTGGTGTTCCTCCACTCACTGGAGCTGTAGCATTTTGGTGCACTGGCTGGGAAAGGGAATTCATTCATCATACTGGTAAGTATGGAGAAAATCTCAACTTTAAATCTATTCTTTAATCCCAAGGTTCTCTTCCAGCTATCCTGTGTCCAAACTTTCTTTCTCTCTCTATCCACAGACGGAAGCAGACAGTTTGGCCACTGTGTCTGCTGCACTCACCTCCTCCCCAGACAGCACCTGCCACCCCAGATAGCACCTGCCACCTAGAAACTTTCTTAGCAAAAATAATAAAAACCAATCCATTGTCCTCTTAAAAAAATTAGTCTTTTACACTCTCTGTGTGTCTACTATGCAGGAATCTTTACAGTTCAGGGAAACAGGTCTGTTAGAAGAGGTCACAAATTGCAGTAAGCAGTAGCTCAATAAACATCTCTCTACAATTACACATGGTATTTTTAAGCCACCTAGTGAAAATAAAAATCCTCTTCATGAGACTCTCTGCAGTACACAGCATCTTCACAATATTTCCATTTTGTGCTTTTCTACTGCTACTTCTGTGGATGGGAAAGTTCTGCGTTTTTTTTTAACTTGGGTTTTAATTATGTACCTAAATAGCAACATGAGAATGAGGAGTTCTAAGGCTTGTACATTATCTCTAGGTGAAAGGGTTTCAGATTAGTTTGCTTGTAGGATGGTATCACCCAAGATAACAGAAGTCTGGTCTAGTTTTTCCTGAAGAAGAAAACCAATTTAATACATTCAATACTGACTTCTCTGCCATTTTTCTGTAGAAATACCGATTTATTCTATGGAGTTTCCAATGTTTACCTATAACTGATTAAGATGGGCAGAGCATGGAGTTTTCTACTTAGTTCCAGGTGAATTCTTCACATTTCCTGGCTTTTGAAAGTTCTCCTTCCACAAATCTTCTATGACGATATATCCTCGTAAACCCCAGTCATATAATCTCTCCCCACTGACCTGGGCAAACACGATGGCTTGTTGTGGATAATAGAGGGAGGCAGCTAATCCCATGAAACCAGGCAGATACACTAGCTTCTTCATTTTTGAACCTCTAGCCAAAAAGAGTCCAATAAGGCCAGCAAAACCAATAACACCAAGTCTCGGAAAAAATCCAGGCGGTACATTTTGGAGATAGTCATAGCTGTCTAACCCCCATTGAACCAAACTTTGCATCTTGGGCTTAGTTTGGGAGTACGTTTCCTGACACCAGCTTGTGTATGGCTCACAGTAGTGTCGAAGCTATGAGACGCTTTCTTCAAGTGGGCTCCTTGACTCCTCCACATACTTCGATTGACCTTTGAGAACTGAGTAGAGTGAAAGCTCATCAACCTTCACAGAATTTTTGGGAGGTGAGTCCTTTTTTGGTACAGCATAGACTTTGAAGGTGAGCAAGCTCAGGCTGGCCGGCCCCACGGACCTCTGAATTACCTTGAACATGTCGCTGGCAACGGTGGCTCTGGCAGGGTCCAAAGTTCTGCTTTTAACAGTTAAAAGTAAACTGTCTCCCACAGCCAGATTTTAGTCCCAATTCTCTCCCATCAGTAGGAAAATGGCCATTCAGTTCCTATGTTCCTTTAAGGGACCTGTTCTGTCTCTGATTAAGACAGTTCTTAATTATCAAGGGGATTTTAAGTCCAGAAGTTAACCAGGACAATTGTTTCTATGGGTAAATGTTTTAGCATGGACCATAATAGCAGGATACAGAGTTCAATCTAGCATGCCCCCTCCCTTTAAGGGGCCTTGGCCAATTACATGGTTTTTCTTGAAATCTGGAAGGCACAGAGGCCACACAAGTCTAGGAGGTCAAAGGAAAATAAAAGGCAGAGAACTAAGAATGCCTGGGGAAAGCATGCCTAAGGCCCTGAAGTTTAGTTTCTCTGGTGCCACAGCTTGAAGGGCCTGCAGTCATGAGGGCCACTTTTAAATAGGTGCTGGGGGTCCAGGAACTAGAGAGAATATAGTTGGGGGATGCCCCCCTACTGCTTTCTTCTCCATCCTGGATCACATATCAAAACGAAAGAGACTCACTTCTCTTTCTAAATGGGATCATCTTTAACATGCACTCCCCTGGAGCGTATTTTAAAGAACCGGGACTCATTCAACCCTGAAACTTTGAAGAAAAAGTGGCTTATTTTCTTTTGCAAAAGGCCTTTTTACTAGACCTTTCCAAGCACTGTAATGTCAACCCAACTCTTTTAGCAACCATACCAGGCAGGCCCAGGGAAAACAGTTCCCCAAAATTAAAAAAGTCACTTTCAGGGAAATCATCTGAGAATCCCCTTTATTTGTGGCCCCTTCAAGTTCCCTTCTCATTGCAGGATCTTAGGTAAGTAAAGGGAGACTTAAGCTGATTTTCTGATGACCCTGATACAGAAGCTTTCCAAAATTTAACTCAGGTATCTGACCTCTCATGGAGGAATGTTAGGTTGCTCCTAAGCCAAACCCTAACTGCAGCTAAAGCAGGCAGCTCTGCAAGCAGAAGAGAATTTTGGAGATGACCAATATATCTCTGATAGCAGGCCAAAAGGCAAAAAGAAAATACAGAAGGCAAAAATAGGGGAAACAGCATTCTCAGTAAGAAGAGAGGCAATACCTCAACCCTAATTGGAACTCCTTCCTATGGCATTTTTCCTTCTTTCGTGGTTTAAAATGGCTTCTATCTCTTTTATAGTGTTCTTCCAACCTGTGAAAAGTTAATTTTCCAAACCTTAAAATGCTTGGCACAGGGTTGAGCTAGGGGGAAGGAACTCAGAAGCCTGATAAGCTGGTAAAAGGATAAGTTTCTTACCAGTCGGGCTTATGGCTTCTCTCTCCCTGTGCAAAATGGTAAAGGGATAAGGATTAGCGTTTATATTCTCTGTACATTTATAATTAATGAAAAAGAATTTGTGAGGTTGGTCTTAAGTGGTAGACAACATGGTGTGCTGTGCATGTCTTTCTGTATGGTTCTGTCAAAGAAAGGGGATCTTAGGTTAGGATGCAGGCCCAGGACCCCAGAAGCCTGCTGGTCAGTAACAAACTTGGCTACAGGCCTCCATCTTGTTTCATGTCCTTGAAAACATGACCTGTAACCACATGACAATACTTTGTTTTAGTCTCTGCCATTTTACAATGGTGGCTGTCATCCTGTGCTAAGTAGTTCCTGGGTGAAGGCCACAAAATCAGATAAGCCAGTTCCTCAATCTGGGTTGTGCCAGCTGATCCATCAAGGGCGGGGTTTACAAAATATCTTAAGTAGTTATCTTGAGAGCACTTTAGAGAGCATCAAAATCTTGTAGCCTCCAGCTGTATGACTCCTAAGCCATGGTTTCTAATTTTTTTTTTTTTTTTTTGAGACTCGTGTCTCACTCATGTCCCTCAGGCTGGAGTGCAATGGCATGATCTCGGCTGACTGTAACCTCCGCCTCCTGGGTTCAGGCCATTCTCCTGTCTCAGTCTCCCAAGGAGCTGGAATTACAGGCACCTCCACCACACCCGGCTAATTTTTTCATTTTTAGTACAGATGGTGTTTCACCACGTTGGCCCCGCTGATCTTGAACTCCTGACTTCAGATGATCCGCCCACTTTAGCCTCCCAAAGTGCTGGGATTACAGGTGTGAGCCACTGCACTTGGCCCCTGGTTTCTAATCTGATGGCCAGTTTCTTGGTCTGGTCCACAGGCAAGAGGGAAGTATATCTTCAGAAGGGGCTGTTACCATCTTTGTTTCAAACTACAAACTGTAAACCAGGCTCCTCCCAAAGTTGGTTCAGCCTACGTCCAGGGATGGACAAGGACAGCTTGTGGGGTAGAAGAAAACAAAGCTGTTTGGGTTGGATCTCTTTCACTGTCTCAGTCATAATTTTGCAATGACAGTTTCAAAAGCTGCCTATCCCTCATTTGAAAATACCTTGTACACTCCTGGTTAAGTAATAACCTAATTAAGAGAGGCCTGAGAGAGCTGCCTAACCCCTTGTACTACGTGAGGACAGTGAGAAGTTGCCATCTATGAGAAAGGAGGCACTCAGCAGATGAGGACCTTAAGCTGGGACTTCCCAGCCTTCATAACTGTGAGAAATAAACTTAAAATTGTTTATAAGCTACTCATTTATGTTATTTTCTTACAGCACCCTGAATGGACTAAGATACCTTTGCAGAGTTTATTCTGTGCACCCTTTTGGTGTAATAAGTATTAACAATGAGAATAACAACTTGTGAGTCCAGTAAGTCTTTCTAGTGAAACGCTGGCCCTGAGGGTGGTAGTGGGATCCCTAATACAGCAAACCACAGACTGCAAGGAAGTAACGCAGACTTCCTTGCAGAAGGTAACGCAGACATAATACAAATAGGCATATGAGTATAACGTATACAGAACAGACACATGATCAAGATCTTACATGCAGAACATATAAAGCACCCTTAAAGCTCAAACACAAGAATCCAAACAGATAAAAAATAGACAAAGAACTTAACCAAATCTTCACAAAAGAAGATACAGACATAAAAAATAAGATGCTTGCTCATCCAGGCACAGTGGCTCACACTTGTAATCACAGCACTTTGCGAGGCTGAGGTGGGAGGATTACTTGAGTTCAGGACTTCAAGACCAGCCTGGGTAACACAGCATGACCCCTCTCTACCAAAAATCAAAACAATTAGCTGGGTGGTTTGGTGGTGCACACCTGTAGTCCCAGCTACTCAGGAGGCTGAGTAGGTGAATCACTTGAGCCTGGGTGGCCAAGTCTGCAGTGAGCCATGGTTATACCAGGGCACTCCAGCCTGGGTGACACAGCAAGACTCTGTCTCAAAAAAAAAAAGAGATGGTCATCATCATCAGGAAAATCCAAGTTAAAAACACAATGAGATACTGCCACACACAATTACAAGGGCTAAAACTTGAGTGACAATATAAAGTGTTGACAATTTCTGGAGCAAATATTTCTCACACATTGTTGGTGGCAGTGTAAAATGAATCGGCCACTTTGGAAGTTTCAGAGTTTTTTAATAAATTTAAACATACTGTTACTTAACTTGTAAAGTTAAACCTCATGACTGAGCAGAACTACTAGGTGTTTATCCAAGGCAAATGAAAATACATAGCCACAAAAAGGCCTATACAGAAATCATAAACATCTTATATCCATATTTATTCATAAGAGCTCAAAACTAGAACCAACTCAAATGCCCATCAACAGGTGAATGAATAAGCAAACTGTGATAGGTTGACTCAAGGAATACCACTCCATAAAACTCAACTAACTGCTAACATGCACACCCTGTGGATGGCCAGGGATATCTGAATGAAGAAAAGCCAGACACAAGAGTGTATACACTATGGTTTGAATTATATAAGGTTGTAAACAAGTTCTATGGTATAGAAATCAGACCAATGGTTGCTTGCAGTGAGGAATAGCAGGAACTGACAACAGAGGCATGAAGGAAGTTTTGGGGGTGTTAAAAATGTTCCCTGCCTTGATCAGGGTGGTAGTTACATAGATCAATACACTGGTCAAAACCCATCCAACTGTACACTCAAATGTGAATTTTACTGTAGCTAAATTTTACCTTAATGAACTTAATTGAAAAGAAAACCAGCTCCACACCAGCTCCTACAAGCTAGCATCTTTGGTTCCCTTCCAACCTCCAGGCCTCACTTCCCATCTCCTGTACCTCTTCCTTGAACCCTGTCCTCCCCGCTACTCTCACTCTATAAACAGCCTTTGGGCACAGTTCCTTTTGGCCTCTACCCTTCCCTGAGATGTTGGCAACTCCAAAATTCTTTCTCTACTCTGTAACGGTCCCTGATGCTCTGAATCTGGGGTGGCCTGAATTTCTTCCTCTGGATATCATCCAAGCCAAAATCTCACTCATTACACTTCACCCACATCATCCAAACGTGTGTCCTCATCTGGGAATGCACCATCTCCATCTGGCAAGCTGTGCAGCCAGAAATGGGAGACTCTAAGGTCAGGCCTTCAGCCTCTACTCCTCAGCCCAAGTCCTACAGACTCATCACTCCAAACCCCTTTGACCTATCACTTCCCCAATTGCCACAGCCTTCTCCTTCCTGGGACTACAGGAATGGGCCACCATACCCAGCTACTTAAAAAAATTTTTTTGTAGAGATGTGGTTTTGCTATGCTGCCCAGCCAGGTTAGTCTTGAAGTCCTGGGCTCAAGTGATCCTCTGGCCTTGGCCTCCCAAAGTGTTGAGATTACAGGTATGAGCCACAGCATCTGGCCAAGAATTTGCTTCCTCTGTAAGGATGAATATTTCACTGCATATATACACCACATTTTCTTTACTCATTGCTGGTAGACTGCACCTCTTAACTGTTGTGAATAATGCTGCTTAGAACATGAGTATACAGATATCTCTTGGAGATCTTTATTTTTATTTTTTAAAGACAGGGTTTCACCATGTTGTTCAGGCTGGTCTTGAATTCCCGACCTCAGGTGATCCACCCGCCTTGGCCTCCAAAGTGCTTGGATTACAGGCGTGAGCCACGGCGCGCCG